ACCTTTGTCACAAAAGATTTATAATGCACAGCAGAAGAGAAGTCCCTGAGGAGAACAGCAATTACATACCCGGGAAACCAGGAGCCACTCACTGATATACCAGAGGTTATAAAGAAAATAAATAAGAAAATGAGGAAAATAAGTCTTGAAACTCTTCCTTCAACCTCATAAACAGGCTCTACTATGGTGCTCTCCCCCTACTTACTCATTGTTTCAGCCTCTTCCTCTGTTCATTCTAACACTAGTGATAGATTCATTCTGATCTATCACTAATATTGAGCCCTTGACCAAGTTCCTTCCTAATGTCCAGTCCTCAATTCATCTTGTTCTTGTTTAAAGACTTCCTTTAGATAACTCATTAGCATGCAATATTAGTGATTCTCTGGGAGGGCCTCTTGACCCAAAGCTATAAGCCTGGCTTCTTCCTTCAACCTTAGTTTTCCTTCTGACTTTCCCCATCCCTTGCAGCCAATCCACACTGTCCTTGAAGTAGCTAAGTCCTGCTTATGTTTTTCAATTCAGTTCCATCCTAACTACTCACACCTCTCATTTTCTTAATCAAAATTTTCAATAGTCCAAAATTTGTGGCCTGGCATCAGACTTTCAATATACTACTTTTCCACCTAGTCCTATATTGCCAAGTAGGCACTTTATTCACCAAACCCTAAATACCCTAGTATGATCATCATAAAAATGCATTAATATTTTAATTATCTTTATGTAAAAGAGGGAGATCTTTAGGTTTGGAACATGCTGTTGAATGAAGTAGTAAAAGCCTATAGCCATCAGCAGATAAATTTGCTTTAATATTGTTATAATTTTCTTGACTAAACAAGGGAAAAAAATTAATAAGCATCCCTCCTACTTCTAAGGAGAAATCCACTCAAACTTGAACCCTACCCTCCATATCCTTTTTGAAGCACTGGTCAGTGTTGGTTGGTGTCATCATGGACAATAGGTAACATTAAAGGGAGGAGATGAGGGGTGGTTAATGGTGTTCACAGCTGCAGCTTTATCACTTGGCATATTAAATCCCACTTATTGGGATGACATTGAGACATCATTTTGCTCCTTCATATAATAATTGCTCCATTCAAGCCTAAACATAAACCATTCATTCAACACATGCTAGGCACCCCTCTAGCTAAGTACTGACATTTAAGACAGAAAACAATACAGGCCTTTTCCTTATTGCCTTCTCTCCACCACAAGGTATTCACGAGTAGTGGAGACCAACATTGAATAAGAAACATTCTGAGGGCACTGAGTGCTGTATCCTGGGAAGACCATGTTATTAGAGATCAAGGTTCAGATGAGGTTCAGAAAGGCTCCCTGGGAAAGGGCACATATACTGCTGCTACTTCTTTTGTCTTTCATCCTTGCCCTTGCATTTGTGGCCTCATTTTAACTCATCCTTTAAAACTCAGCTTAGATTTCAGATCTCACTAGAAACCCAATCTGGATTGTCCTCACAAAGACAGAATTGGCCTTTCAGACTTTCTAATCTTGCCCAAACTGTGTGTATCCTCTATCTTAAAATTTACCACATCCATGGGAATTAGTATTGGTCTGTCTCCCAACTAGTCAGTGTTTCTGGCAGGGTATCTCTGTATCTTAAGTGCCTAACAAGTGATTATTAAATTTTATTGAATATTTTATGGAATAAATGAAGATTTAACAAGGAGAAATGGCAAATACTTAATTGCTGCCTAAGACTTACTAGCTAAAATAAAAGATAATGCAAGTATAAATTTTAACCAAAGTAGAGAATATTTTTGGTAGAGATTTATAACACATGATGAAAGCTAGGTTAACCAGAGTGTAACATTTCTCTGCTTCTGAAACACATTGGAGTTTATGGTCAGTATATCAAAATATATACTGGGGGGCTGGGGCTGGGGTCATTGGTAGAGTGCTTGCCTAACACATGTGAGGCACTGGGTTCGATCCTCAGCATCACATAGAATAAATAAAGGTATTATGTTCATGTATAACTAACAATATGTTTAAAAAAATACATACTGGGACATTTTAGCCCCAAAGTTCTGGAGGATGTTTTACCAGGATTCTTAAAGTCTGAAATAAGATACTCTGAATATATAAAAATAAATCTAAGAAGTCTGGGACTAAAGTTTTGGTTTTAAAAGGCACAGACTATACACAGATAATAAGAGATACATATTTAATAAGAGATTAAAACTGCCACTGATAAGCTTAAATTTGAGCTTTGAAGATTATATATTTATTTATTAATTAATTTATTTAAGTCTTCTACAATCTTTATAACAGAGCATAAGTTTATTAAAGTTAACAAGAGGATTTAATAATGAGTTTAATAAAAGAAATAAAAAGTGGTCATAATGAATTCTGGAAGAATATTTTTGTAATTCAAGTCTCAGACCAAGAAAATAGTGCTATCTAGTGGTTAAATCTGGGAATAAGAGGTAAGGCATACCAGAGGCTGGAGAATCTCCAAGAGGCTGCATCTCAATAGTTCTACTTCATATCACAAGAGAAACAAATATACATGTGTCACTAGCTGATGGATGGAAAAGGGATTAGATATGGATTTAAGCCGTTGACTTCAGAGTATGATGCTACAAACAGAATAAGAGCTTGGACTCTGAAGACAGACAGGCCCAGGTTCATAACTTTGCTGCATGACTTTAAGCAAGCCATCAAATCTTTTTAATCTTTAATTACTTTCAACTGTGAAACAAAGGTAAAAATATTGACTATCTGACAGGATTATTGAGAAGGTTAAATGCAATGATATGTATAAAACATTTGGCACAGTGCTTGGCATATAGTAAGTCAAGTAATTCAGTAAACAGCAGTTTATTATTATTTCTATTAATAAAATTATTTTACTTAGGACATAAATTAGTTTGTAGAATTTAAAATAATTGCAGATAATCTTTTTAACTCTTTTATAAAGAGGTTATAAGATAATACCAATAAACAATACTTGTAGGCAATATAAATACCAGATATTTTTAAATTTAAAATATCATAGGTTCAATGTTACATTGTAATCATGCAGTTCAGTAGTGGGGTTGTATTTTCAATGAAAACAAGTGATTTTTAGAAATAGATTACAAAATGAACTCTGAAATATCCTATTCTAAGACATTCATGAACCCTTTTGTTATGAAGAAATTTTCCTTAACCAAATCCTGCATTTTTTAACATATAAGTCTAATAAATTTATATATGTCATTTTCAAAGATAAATTTGAGATTTCTTTCTACTTGACTAGAAACAAAATACCAATAGAAATTTTTCTACAAATGTTTTAATCTACTACATTTATACTAGAAAAGAGAATTTGATTTTTGTGAAAAATATCCTTTGGCTTGCAATATAATCTACCAGCTTACTTTAGCCTTAGAATTTGAGACAGTATATTTGCTTTTATATAATGGACAGAAATAACACAATTTATTAGTAATTACAGCCAAGCCATTATATCTAATTTTCATTAAAGTCACACAAGGTTCTCCAAGGGTGATATATAAGGTAAATTTCCCTCTGCATTAATATCTAAAATATTTATTTAAAATAAATCATAGGAAGCCATTATAACCATCTCATAATCCCCATTTGTATGTAGTTCTTTAATGATTTGTTACAAAGGGGGCTGAATTGTTTCTTTTATTAGTAGTAAAAGAAAAACTGAAATACCTATATGCAATAAAAAAGAAACACACAGGAATTAGAGACCTGTATTATGGTCATGGTGTGGCACTAGTTCTGTGCTCAGGATTTTCAACCTCTCTGGGTTTACATTTACTCATTTATTAAACAATCTTTAAGGTCTGGGATAGGGTTATCCTCTACAATTTTTACCATAATTTAGTATGTCATAATGACTCAAAATCATAAGTCCAAAGTTAGAAATTACTTAATTATCCATAATGAACTTACTTAAGTTATTTCTACTCTCTTAGAATAGGAAAGGGCAGAACAAACACAAAGACACAGTAAAAGAAGTTAAAAACACCTATTTAAAATACTGTGGCATATTTTACCTTTCTTCTCATTACATCTACTATAAGTACTTTGCCTTGGGCAGTAAAAATCCATATACTTATTAAGAGGTTATTGCATCCCCATCTGTTTTTACTTATCTCATTAAGTATTTTAAGCTATCCTAGAAAACATGGCATGAGTTTCCCTTTCAGCCATACGTAAATAGTTTTAGAAATTAACTCATCTGCACCCAAAAACCCTTGGATGAAATCTGTCAAGTATATTTCTACTTATAAATATGGTGACCTTTGACAACTACATCACTTGAAGAAATGGGGATGAATGAGTCTTTGACTTCAGAAAGCAAGCACCAATCCACAACCAGAACAAGGAGGGAAACAGAACCAAAGTTAAAACAGTCAAGCAACACAAAACAGTCTTCTGAACAGAGGAACAGGGTACCAAGTAGTTGGGCATTTGAGATTGGTAGGAGATTTCTGAGGGGAATCAATTTTAGATAAATAGCAGAGATGAGATTAATTCACCTTTGTATCAATTTTAGTACATCTTTCCACAATAATATAATGCAGGGTTCATGTGTATCTATAATTTTGCCAAAATGTAAGTCAAAGTATTTGCTGACTACATAGCAAATATGGTAGAACAAAACAGGTGCCATTTTCAACACTTCAAATTGTATCTTGACGTTTGGCACTTCCACAATTTAAAATAGCATTATGAGAACACATTGTTTTTGAAAGTGTGCACTGGACAACAGTGATCAGAAATATTATAAAGGCAACTTCAAATAATAAAATATTCATTTGAGACCTGAAAAGAAGAACCTAAGAAACAACCTTAAGGCAAAATAGAAAACATGAGTCACAATCTCATCAAATATGAACATCTACATTTTTACTGTTAGTTATATTGAAACTTGAAAACGTCAGAGCAGCCTTCTAAAATCACAGACCAACAGGATAAAAGTAGATAAGAAAAAAGTGCAATTTATGAATATGGTTTATTACCATGGTTACAAACTTTCAGAACAGGCCTCTGAGACAATGGACTGAGACTTTGCCGAATATCTGTTAAAAAATATATAAAAGAAACTTAATGTAGAGATCTGTTCATCTCAAGAAACATAAAAGTATTTAGTATTTAGACATACTTTCTTCCAAGGTTAAGTATTTCTGGAAGCAAAGCAATGCTTCAGTACCCTGAAACACTTGAAGCAGTAATGTTATGACTTTTACTTCTCATTTAATTATGCTACTGTAAACTCCACTGGGACAAAGTACATATGGTTCTTTGGATGAGACTTGTCACACTAATCAGGATTTTCTAGGTTCAGTGCATTGATTTGTTAATGTGCCACTGACATTAGCCAACTGGAATGCACATCTCTCTGACATTTGTCTTTGGAAGAGATTAAGCAAACTTATGAAACTTCTGAATAATTGTTGCCCATAGCACTGCATTCTTGATACATGATTTTAAAATTAGAAAGAAAAGGTCTTCTTCTCTGTGATAGTTGCCTAGAAAGTAACATGAAAACAAGCATAGTGCTCACCTTTCGGCTTTGGTGTTCTTTTTCTTCTGTCGCGGAAGGCAGCCCCCGACTGCAGGGCCTCCAGCAGACTATCCATCACTCCTGTCTCATCACCCTCTGTGAAAAGAGATGCAGGGAATTCCATCAGCCCTCAGGGTTACCATAGCAATGTCAAAGCATACAGAGAAATTGGGGATGGTGATGGTAGGGAGAAAAAAAGACCAGATGCCAGGACTAAGCCAGCAATTTCAAAATAAAAAAGGCCTCTCTCTCATAAATCAACTATCTTTTAATGAAATATACCTCATTAGTGCTTCTGTTTCTGTCTACTAAAAAGGACCAAGTTCTACTGATTCATTTCAGAGTACTGCTTTTATAGTCCAATGCCACAGTGACTTTAAAAGGAATGTGGCTCTGGTTATATCTATGTCTTAAGTTATCATAAATCACACTTCCCTTGTAGAAACGTATTATTTTTTTTATAAGGCAACAGCCTTTATTCTAAAAATTGATCAGGTATGGGACAGTGTTTTGGTTATTGTAACAGATTCTGCACATCTAAACTGACTGTTCAAAATTACATTTCCATGCTAAATTTCATAAATATGAAAAATCAATCCCAATGATTTATTTTTTTCCATATCAGAGAATAATTGTCCCTTGACTAGATGTGACACAGAACAATCGCTAAAACTTTTATAGAATGTATAAAAAGTTTATCTTCTATAATTAAAAAAGTCTCTCAAAAATTTAAAAAACTGCATTCCATTATGATTAGGTTAAATTGACATTATATAATTAATAAAGGATGTATGTACAGAACCAGTTCTGTTTACAAATAACATTAAAAATATTCACAGGTATTTATAACTATCAATACTAAAAATCATTCCAAGGAAGCAGGAGAAAAGGACTCAAAAAAGGTACTGGCCCAACCCAAGATAAAGAAAATATTAAAGACTGTTTTGTTCCTGCAAAAGAAGCTATTTGCAGGCATTCTCTATGAAACTGTAAGGCTGGTATAACATGACATCTGATAGAAAAAATGATTTTTCTCCAAACTTTTTATTACTTCATTTTTGTTTCCATTTTGAAACAATCTCTTTAATAGAGAATAGCAAGTGAAAACAGTAGAGTACAAATAACACACTCATTTACAGTTTATAAACAGATATATAAATATAAATATGTATCAGTCGGTTTTCCATCTGGTCCTATTTAGTATTTTTAGAACAGTACTAAACCTTGTAGGTGTTATCAAAACAGGTGGGCGAGAAATAAAGTATTAGGAGGTTGTTAATTTACACATAAATTTAATTCTAAAGTGATTTGATGGCTATTTTTAATTAAAATACATTAAATATTTCAGATAGTTTAATAAGTAATTACCTGGCTATCTTTGAAAATTTACACTCAAACTTAATTATGCTTTTTTCCCCTAAGAAAAATTGCAGATAATGCCAAGTATTTGAGGTCATGAATACATTTCACTAGTAAAAACATCTATAAAAATTTTTTTTGAGAGAGATAATTTTTTAATATTTATTTTTTAGTTTTTGGTGGACATCTTTATTTTATTTTTATGTGGTGCTGAGGATTGAACACAGCACCCCGTACATGCCAGGTGAGCGTGCTACCGCTTGAGCCACATCCTCAGCCCACATCTAAAAATTTTTAAATTAAATGTTTTAATCTCATGCTTGCTTACAAATCCAAGAATAAGATTAAAAAAAAGTCTTCAAATTGAAAACAAATGGAAGCAAATGAACAAGTTATCAAATTGATAGCATTAGCTATAAAGGTGAAAAAAAAAATAAACCCAAGTAATTTTTAAATGTCCTTAATAGCATATACTTTAAAGAAAAAAGAAAAACAGCTACAAAGAGAATATGAATTGTCACCTTAGTAAGTTTGTTGTTGGTAGTGGTAATGCTGTATAATGATTCTGAAATTTTTATGTGTGCATTATATTGAGCAGATGGGTGAAGTTGTTAATGCTAGTGTCAACAGTGACCCTCACTGTGGGAAAGGAGATGTAAATCTGGAATAGGAGGAGGGAGGAAGAATGCTGAAGTACTAGATTGAATTTACAGGAATCAATTTAGGCACAGGGCTTTAAAAAATATTTTTCCTAGCTTTTGAGACCAAAAGTGTTCAGAAAAAATGGCACTACTGCCTCAGTGAGCACACTAGTCCTGAGAGCTTGGTTTCTAAATATCATTACTCACTAAAATGAATCAGAACACTTAGCAAAAATGAGTCAGGAACATACTGATGTGCTAAAAAATAGAATCAAATAATATAAAAATGGATGTTATAAGGTCAGAGCTGCCAAATTTATACAATTTAATGAAATATACCTCATTAGTGCTTCTGTTTCTGTCTACTAAAAAGGACCAAGTTCTTTTTAGTACTTGGTAATAATTTATTGTCATCATTGCTTACAATGATGACAATAAATTATTGTCAAGTAAGCAATGATGACAATAAATTATTACGCACTGGGAAAAAATTAAGTATCCACATTGATGCTAAAATCATCATCATCATCATCATCATCTTTGCAGGGGAAAGGAAAGATAATTTTACATAAAGGTGTCAACTATTAGACGGCAAATGTCAAAGATATGAGGGAAATAAGTCGTTTCCAATGCACATAGTAACAAATGATTTAGGCAGGTATCATACTTGGTTGCAAAACCATTGTGTGTAAGGCTGTGGGGGAAATAGGACATGTTATCATTTTACCCAAATTTGACAGTATCAAGAATAAGATACATTGACACCAATTGCCTTGTGAAATGACATAACCTGTTCAGCACTTTGCACAGAAATGTCTAATTTAAATTTAATTGTAGGAAAATAATCATATAAACCTAAAGTGAGTATATTCTGTGACATAACTGGTCTGTGCTATAAAAACAACATAATAAAAGACCAAGAGAGAAAGGAGGAAGGAAAAAGAAAACAAAAAATGCTAGAAAACAGTTCCACATTAAAGAAGACTGAAGAGATAAGGACAATTAAATATAAGACGACTTTGATTAGCTCCTAGATTTTAAATAAATTTTCAATGACATTACTGGTATGCTAAGAAAATTTACCAGTGCTGAGCTACCACCACTTGTAGTTATATTCTGGCTAGGCAGGGTATTTCCTGTTCTCAGGAGCTGGATGTTGCCCTACTTAGGCTCATTCAGCAATGTGCAAATTTCCATGTTTGCCACTTCATGCCTTTAAACATGCTTCTCTCTGCACAGAATATTTTTCCCACTTTCTTTATCAAGCTAGCTCATGTCTCTGAAGACAGAGAACTGAGAATGCTCTCCTAACCCACGGTGGACTGAAGAGGGTGCCCTTCAATGTCCCATTGGCATGCAGTACCTATAGGAATAAATCCTTTACAATATTATACTGATTAGTTGATTTTATTTTTCTGCCACTAGATTGTGCACTTATTGAGGGCAGGGATTACAGGTGTCATTTACCTTTAATATCTAGCAAAATGTATTATATAGAAAGTGTTTAATAAATACATGTTCAACAAAATTAATAAGCCAGGCACTAAGTCAGCTGAAAGGACTAACTATGCAAGAGACTAAAGGTTATGGATGAACAGGGGGCCAGGGAAGTGGTAAGACTGTATTAAAACAACAATGTTTCGTTTATTCCTTTTGTTCCATATCATACATGTATTTAGTTTCCAAATCTCACTTGACTGAAATTTACAAGTATCTTCTGTTGTTCCCTTTGCAACTATGTTCTAGGCTGTACAGAAAGAAGTAATTTTCACCAAGAATACTGCATGAGACACTGTATCTCATGTTGCATTCCAAATTCTAATCATCCCATACATTACTGGTGAGTCCTAAAGCAGAATTATGTCAATTCCCTGAGTCACAAGTTTCCAATCTCTCTCAGTTCTCAGAGTATAAAATTCCAACTCTTTCACCACCACCCCTGCAATGATTCTAATTACTTCCCCAATCTTAACTCTTCTTACAACCATCACAACTTTCAAAGTCAGCTGTCTATGATTTTCTCCAAAGACAGAAAGTCATTTTCTATCTGGAACAGACTTTATTCCTGCTCTTTTTCCTGGAGTTGTTTTTTTCTTGGTCTTTATTCCCTTACACATAACAGAAATACTTAAGTATAGCAACCTGTACTCTAGCCTGGGTTCTCAACCAACAACTGTGTGAAACTGACACAATCATTTCCGATAGGGGTAAGAGACATTACTTGATTGGGTTTAATAAGGAGATCACATGAGATAATGCAAATAGAAGCACTAAAGTATAAAATTAATAGGAAGTTTATGAAATAACTAATTTTTAAAAGTTTTAAGCACTGTTTCAGATATAGTACATTACAACTTAAGTTTTACATAGTACATGTTCTTATGTCCTTATGTTAAGGACATAATCATGTAAAACACTACTGCTAAGAGAAACTTCTGATATACAAATACACTCTTGAAATAAACTAATGCTAACTGTAATACGTGGACATATAAGGAAAATGTTCTTCCAATGTTAAACATACATTTAGTACATGTATCCAACACATGTTTTATTTTTATATTTTGTGGTGCTAGTGATTGAACCCAGGACCTTGAACATACTAGGAAAGTGCTTTTCCACATGCAACGCATATTTACTTGGCAGATGGTACCATGTGCCAGGCCATTAATAGCACTAAAGATATCTAGGCCCCAAGGGTAAACAAAAGAAATCTCTTCTGCACTCAGAAGCATAAAAGTGGGATATGGAGAGAGGTATGAGAGTCACCAGAGATTTAATCCTTCCTAGTGAGAGACTACTTGGAGAATAAGTGGGAGTTAGCCATGGCAAGAACTGGATAGGGAAGAATATTCTTGGTGGAAGTAATCTCAGGAACAAAGTGAAAGAAATGAACAAAAACAAAAGAAGAGATACAATAAATTGTCTAAATGTCTCATATTTATATTATTCTCAACAAACCAGGGAAATAAAAATTAGCCATTTTTTAAATCACAAATTAGACCTCAATTTCTCTAACAAGGCAATTTATATTCAGAATATTTATAGCATCTCTCTTGCTGTGAAAACTCTTTTTTTTATTGGTTGTTCAAAACA